CCAGGATTGGTTCCCAGCCCCCACATGGATGCTAATAAACATCTGTAACTCCAGTTCCAGGAAATATGACGCCCTCTTCTATCTCCACAGGCATTGCACACACATAGTGCACATATGTACATGCAGGCAAAACAGTCATACAAATAAAAATGAATAAATAATTTTTTTCCCAAAGAAGAAAAGAAAAAGAAAAGTGAAGTATGGTCTACTTTTTATGTGTATGGGTGTATTGCCTGTGTGTATATAAATGCACCCATGACCTGCAGTGTCCTCAGAGGTCAGAAGAGGGTGTCAGATTCCCAGGAATTGGAGTTACAGATAGTTGTTAGCAGCCTTGTGGGTGCTGGGATTTGAAACCTGGGTCCTCTGTAAGAGCAGCCAGGGCTCTTAACCACTGAACCATCTCTCTAGCCCCTACATTTTATATTTATCTTTGTTAATAAATTACTTGCAATCATCCTGCTGTTAAGGATAAGATTCAAGTTATTGTACTGTAATGGGATGTTGTCCTTGGCCTTCACTTCATGCCAACACTGTGACTAGTGTGGACATAAGCAGCTATTACTGAACTATGTTCAGCTCCTCATTGCAGTTAGGTGCACTTTTACATATTCCCACAGTCCTTGCAGGGCCAGGGATGAGAGTTAGTTCTAGACAGTTGAAAAATCACTCAGAGGCAGGATCCTGTTCTGGGCTGAGGGTATAAATTTTGATAATCCCCAAGTGTCACACTGAGACCAGAAATACTGACTGCACAACAAAGACAATGATGCATAGACAGAGTTGGAGAGACCGAAGCTTTGTCACAGAAGAGTTTATCCCCTGGGCTGTGCTGGGATGAGACCAGAAGCACTCCCATTCAAAGTGAAGCTGGCCCTGCAGCCATCAGCATGACATGATGGCAGGAAACTGAGTTCCATTTGTTCCCAAGTCTGCAGCAAATGAAACGACCATAAATGAAACGACCCTTCAGTGAAGAGAAATTCTGTTCACCAGTGTTCAGGACTTAAGGGTCAGATAAGAAAGGCCTGATGTCCAAGTTTAAAATGATGAGAATTTAGGGGGTTGGGGATTTAGCTCAGTGGTAGAGTGCTTGCCTAGCAAGTGCAAGGCCCTGGGTTCAGTCCTCAACTCCAGAAAAAAAAAATGATGAGAGTTTATCCTATAAAAACTAGGTGTGACCAACAGCTCTAATGCACTAAAATAGAGAGGAGTATATTTGGAGAAATACTAGTCCTGGGAAAGCCACTGCCATAAGAGAATAGGATGTCAATGAGGGCTTCAGCTGGCCTAAAGGAACAGCGCTGTCTACATATCTAAGCTGTGGAGCTTTGTGGAATTCTGATAATGGAAGCTAGGGCAGGATAGAGTCCAGAGTGGAGGCCAGCAGGGATTACATTTGATTCTTTTTTTTTTTTTTTTTTTTTTTTGGTCTTTTTGAGACAGGGTCTCCCTGTAGCCCCAGCTGGCCTAGAACTCACTAGGCAGACCAGGCTGGCCTTGAACTCACAGAGAGCCACCTGCCTCTACCTCCCGAGTGCTGGTATTAAAGGTGTGCGCTACCATGCCTGGCTTACATTTGATTCTTAAACTCACGGATCTACTGCTTTTGTGTTTAGACCCTCTGGGGAAGGAAAGTGGGGATGTGTGGACCTGCAAACAGTTGGTAACCATTTTCCAGGTAGAAAAAGAATTAAAACCAATACAAAGAGCGAGATGGAGGAAAAGTGTCCAGGTAGGTTCAGGACCCTTGAACTTACCTGCATTTCAGCCTTCATGTAATTCAGACTGAGTCAGAGAGGTAGACTGTTTCAGTTGTATTTTTGTCATTACAAAACAAAAGCAAGCAGGACATGATGGTGCATGCCTTTAATTCTAGCATTCCTAAGGTAGATCTCTGTGAGTTCACAGCCAGCCTGGTATACATAGCAAGTACTGGGCTAGCCAGGGCTATAGAGTGATACTGTCTCAAAGGGGGGAAAAAAAAAACAAGAAAATTAAGATTTTAGAGAAAAATCCTCTCATAAGAAGGGTCTAATAGGGAGCTGGAGGGATGGCTCAGCAGTTTAGAGTACTTGCTGCTCTTGTAGAGGACCTGGGTTCAGTTCCTAGCACCCACATGGCAACACATAAGCGTCTGTTAATTCCAGTTCCAGGTGATCCAATGCCCTCTTCTGGCCTCTGCAGGCACCAGGCACACATGTGGTGCACATACATACCTACAGGTAAACATTCATATACATAAAATAAATATAAAATTAAAAAAGGTATGATGGACATGATGGTATATGCCTTTAATGAATGCAAATATTTAATCCTAGCACTTCTGAGGCAGAGGCAGAGGCAGAGACAGGCTCATCCCTGTGAGTTCTTGGCCAGCAAGATCTGCATAACAAGTTATATGCCAGTCAAGATTACATAGAAAAAAGAAAAACAAAAACAGACGAAGGGTCTAATATATAAACTCATTCAATGAACTCATTGATTAAAAAGCCCATCTTCTTCTTTGTCAGCAGGCTCTATCTTTTAATAAGGATTAACAAAAATCAATCAAATGAGAAGGGCTTTAAATATATTTAAATATATATATATATATATATATATTTTTTTTTTTTTTTTTG